ACAGGTATTTGTGACAGCTGCTTATGATTTTGGGGTACAGTAGAATTCCAGAAATTCTGGTCTTCTCATAATTTGCTTTTGTTGCTGAGTTACTGTAGAATGTCTCATGAACAGTCTGCTCTTCCAAAGCTGCTGGGTCCATACCAGTGCCCTAGGATTTCTCTCCTGAAAGTCATGGATGGTTGACTGCAACTATTGTTGAGATTTTTATTTTGTATTTCAATCACATCCTCTTTTTGCTTACCTTCCTGAGTTTTGTCCATGTTTTTCTGATTTTGATTCTTTTCCTTTACAGGCGGTGTCAGTATTAGTTAATATTCCTTCTCTGCAATAGTAAAAATGTTTCAGAAAAGGATAACGATTGGACTCGATGGTCTCTCTTTTCCATCCTTGATGATTCTATGATACTCACTGACATGAGTTAAGAAACCAATTAAAATAAAATTACAGCAAAGAATTCAGTAGAGAAATGTTACCAGCTAATGTCTTACTCCAGTTGTAGTGGTGAATACTGCAAACACTTAATTGCTAATATCAACCATCCAATAAAGAATTATTTGGTGGGAGGGTGGAGCGGATCAGTTTTTTTCTCCATCACTGAAGTAACTACTGAAGTCAACAACTACAGAACAACCAATATGAAACCAGAGACTGCCCCAGAGACTATTATATGGTATTTTCGTACATATCTGCAGCCTTTGTGCTCCTCCTGTCTGGAGGTAATCATGCAATCCATATTTTAGAGGGGGAGATCCTGCATTGCTGATAATCTCACAGAGTGTTTGACATTCTTGTGTAATCTTGGGTAATCTATTTTGACACTGACAGGAAGTTTTCTTTTTTACTTTGTTAGTGTCTCTGAATGAGTGAAAATCCTGCAGCAGCAACATTTTCTTGATTTCAGTAGCAACAAATTCCAAGTCATTGTAAATTAATGTGCTGTGGAGTATCTCTGTAGACTGTCTCTAGAACTGCTTTTATGGCTGTGGCAGTTCTGACTGTTTTAATTAGCTGATTCAGTGAAATGCTGCAGCATTCACTCTTGCCCTTATATTCAATCCACACAGTTACAGAGAGGGTCAAACAGGAGGGAGATCACTGGTCTCTTCCAACATATCTTGTTCACATATCAGGTGCTCAAGACTTTCCTGCTAAACAGTGTGGAACTGGGCCTTTAACAGGCACTGATTTGGAAAGCTATAATTTCAACATTCAAGGGATGCTTGCCAAACTTTGCTAATGGTTTAAATTTGCTGTTGTATTTAATGTTCTTTTTATGTCTGCACATGCAGTCTGGACTCTGGAGTGCAGACCTGGGCTCAAAGCTGCTACCCTTAGGGGGACCTTATCATCTAGACTGGGAGGCTGTAGGAGGACAGACCTTGAAAAGAGCTTGTTGGTGCATCCATCCTATTGCTACTGTTGTGTTAAAGAATCTTGTTCCCTCAGTGGACTCAAAGTTCAAGAAGCATCTGGAGGATGCTCTTAGTCATATGTTTTAGCTTTAGGTAGTCCTGTGAGGAGCAGGAAATTGGACTTGATGATCCTTACAGGTCCTTTCCAACTTGAGATATTCTATGTTCTGTGAGCTTGCCCCTCAGAGCAGTGAATGCTGTTTCTTCCCACTGATACCACTAGAAGACTCATCTGCCATTGAATACTTTAACGGTTACACATCACAACTGTTAAAGGAAGTTTTTCCGTGGGCAACCTACAAGTGTATGTTCCTATTCCAATAAAGGATACATTTCTCCTCCTCACTCCTTGTGTTCACACAGGACCACACAAAGCCATGGTTACCCTCAACTAGCGTTTGGCCCCTAAATATTTTTTGGACAGTTTAAATAAGAAAATCTCTTTCTTTTCCCACCTTGTTTGGTAGAACTTCCATTTCTTCAACTCGGCACTATTCTTGCTTTGCAAATCTATTGGCTACAGTAACAAGTTCCCTCCTTCACATGTAAGGAAGTTAACTCCTACTTTCTTGTTTCTTTCTATGCCATCTGTTATTTTGCTATTGCCTTCCCTCCCCTTTTCAACATGTTTTAAAAAAAGGAGTGAGAGACCTTGTAGTACTCCATTTCTTGGGCTGATGTGTTTCTTAAAGAGTAAGTACTATCCTGAAGAGTTTGCTACAACACAGACCTAAGGTACTCTCTTTGCTGCCTGGTCTTCCCTGATGAATTAAGAATCATCAGAAATAATCCTTGTGTATGGAAGTTGAAACATTAACACTATCTCACAAAAAAAATTTGGAGGTCTGTTTGCACTAATTCCAGTGCAAAAGCCATATATGGTGGGATAACCACAGGTAACAACCAAACTCCCACCCTGCCACTAATTCACACACCCCCTCAGTGGGATGGGAGTGGGGAGAAAAAAGGTAGAATAGAAAGGAGAAAGCTCATGGGACAAGATAAATCCGGGAAGATAACTTACCAATTATTGCTATGGGCAAAACAGACTCAAGTTGGCTAAAATTAATCCACTGCCAATTAAAATAAATATCTAATTCCTGAGTCAGGTAGTGAGAAATATTAAGCCAACACCTTTCCTTCCCCTATGCTCAAGTTCACTCTTTCACTTCAGACTCCTCTCCTCCTGCCCTTGTTACTACTGCAGATACACTCAGTCCCTTCAGCGAGGCAAGGAAGGACTCAAGGGGGGTGTTTATGATCAGTATGTGGTGGTTACTCTCTGCCACTCCTTTCCTCCCACATCTTTATTCTGCTTCAGTGTGGGCTCATCATGGGTAGAACGTGGGCAGCTTCCTTCAGCTCCAACTAATCTGGTGTGGGTTCCTCCCTCCATGGAGCACCTCGTCCTCCTCCTTCTCTGACCTTGGTGTTTGCATTGCTGTTTCCCACCTTTTTTTACTCTTTTGACTGTTCAGTGTTTTTTTCCTTTCCTTAAAAATACTATCATCGAGTCACTGCCAGCCTCACTGAAGGGCACAGCTGTGGCCAGTGGTGAGTCCACTAGAGCCATATGAAAACATCTGTCTGTCATGGGGCAGCCCCTTCAAAAGGCCACCCCTGCAGCCCCTCTGCCGCCAGCCCTTTTCCATTTATATTCAACACAACATATTCCTTTGGCATCCAAAAAGCATCAGTATGGATCTCTATGAGTAAAAAGAAGTATTAAAAAAGATATCTCATTGCAATAGAGGGAGACTTCTGGGATAAGCAGCTTTTCTACTGGGCTCCTCGTCTCTCTGTCCGATAAATAATGTTTCTGCCCATCTCTCTGTAGTCTTCTAACTACAACCCAAAAACTGTAGGCTTTTCACTGAAGATATTCTGAATGCAGGAATGATGTATCATATGCTTTTACTGCATTATTATTATTATTATTATTGTTGCATTACTGCACCTACTTAACTTTCTTTGTTCCATAGAATACATTCAGGTGAAAAATATTGTTCAGCTATACCCATTAGAAAGCTTTAATTTGTAAAGTGTTTTCTTAGGTTCTTCTTGATAAATTCTCAAACCAGATTTGCACAGCCGGATTTCAGAATTAATGAAGCAACCAGACCATTGCTTTTGTGCAGTGTCTCATTCTGAATTCTCATGTCTGGCCTTACCAGAGTTTTTTCCTTGTATTCTAAATGAGTATTCTAAATAACTCAATAACACCAACGAAATCTGCCCTGGTATCTCTATATCTGAGGTCATAGAAAAATGTTTGCCGTCTTTCAGGTGAATAAGACCCCACTCTAAGCCTCAAAGCAAGGGTTCGAACCCAGCATGAAGATAGCTATATTTTACTAAATTAAGAAATACAGGACCAAAAGGCCAAAATGATACCTCTTGCTAGTAGGTAAGCAGTCTTGACTTGATGACCTTGTGAAACACTTACTCTGCCTAGTGAAATGTGAGGACTATTTCAAGCAGAAAGAACTTGGTGACTGTATTCCACATTGATGGAATGGTGTCTCCGGTGATCACTTAGCTTGGATAGTACTGCTGAAAACCTGAAACGAGGTTAGGCACCACAGTGGACAAGAGAGGATGATGAGAAGGAGGTGCCTGCCATTATGCTAGGGCTCAAGAGTTGCTGGGTTGCTATGTTGGAATTGCAAATCATATATTGGGTTTGTGTGTGTTTGGGAGCTCTTTGGGTGCTACTGTTACTTGCATTGAAGTGATCTAAGTGATTGCTTTTATTTATGGACTAGTCAGCCCATTTCTTCCCCCTGCCATAGGAAGGTAGATGATGCTGGTGGGCAACAGAAGAATTCTCCCTGTTCAAAATGCCTGGAGAACCAGAGGATAGATCTCTCATCTCAGGCCTGTCACGTGGGGATGAAACAGAAAGAGTAGATTGCTCTAGTTCTTTATCCTCCTTTTTCCATCAGAGAAGGGCACCATTAGGCATCACATACCCATGTGCATCTTACTGACATTTTCTCTGCTGGGAAGGTACATTTGGACATATTTTACCTGGCACTAATTTACCTGACACTAGGGCAGAGAGTGCTTTCAGAATGTGAATCATAATTCTCCTTTGTGCAATGATACTTTAAAACACAAATCAAAAGGCAAAGAATCACTTGTGCAAGAGATGTTTCTTCTGCAAATACCCTTTCAAACAAGTAGCTCAGAAAACACAAATTGCTCTTAAATCCAAAACAGATGGAAATAAATAACCACCAGTCCATGTAGCTGCAGTAGATCACAAATAATGCTTCAAGACTGAACTAAACTTTACCTTCAAATGGACATCAGCAAACCACCCCCAAGGGCATTCTATCTACTAACTTCATACAATTACTTAGTGTTTCCTCTGGGGTTTTTTTAGCAGTGTGTATTCAGGTATCACAACTCTTCATGCCGAACTCAGATTCATTTGTCCACAAAAACTATTTTCATGACTCCTATGTGAAAAAAGGTATTTTTACTGTACTGCCTTTTTAGTTAAAGTTAAATTTTAGCTAGTAAGGTTAAAGTAGGAATATTTTAACTTTGGTCTGTACCACCTA